CCAAAGGCACTGCAGACCAGCCACCAAAAATCCAAGACAACTTTCAGTCACTAAAGCTGAGTTGGACTCAAACCACCAGCTTAGAGGCAAAAAGTTCCACATCTGACCAGTCACCCGGAACCATCGTGCCCAGAAAGCTAGTTACCTTGAAGCCTGCCTGGGGTAACCCAAGACCCTTGCGGCTGCATGACTGTGCCTAACCAAAGGCACTGCAGACCAGCCACCAAAAATCCAAGACAACTTTCAGTCACTAAAGCTGAGTTGGACTCAAACCACCAGCTTAGAGGCAAAAAGTTCCACATCTGACCAGTCACCCGGAACCATCGTGCCCAGAAAGCTAGTTACCTTGAAGCCTGCCTGGGGTAACCCAAGACCCTTGCGGCTGCATGACTGTGCCTAAGGCAAGCAGGCACATGACGAGCCCTCCTGCAGCAGAGGTAGCTGCTCTGCATTATGATGTCAAATCGCAGAAAGGAAATTTTGACGAGCACATTTGTCTTGATCCATTGACCAAACAAAACCAAGCTGTCCTCTGCAGCCACACCATGACGGGGAGGCCCATTTGGAGATGCCCAAGACAGAGCTGCCCACCCCATCTCAGAGCTCCATGGTATCCCCACCCTTACACACCATTAGGGTGTTCCAGATGGAATCAGCAGCACCACAGTCTTCTTATGGGGCCTCCCCATCCACACACAGCAGGCCCTCGCCTACTGAGAGCTACCAAGGTCAGTGCCAGAGATAGAAGGCTACAGGCCATGGAGAACTATAGCATGTGCAGGAAAGGGAGGCCTTGTCCCTGGCCAAGCTCCCACCATTGCAGCTCCCAGGCAGGTGGGATGGGGCCTTATCCTAGCCATCCCTAGGAGCGCCTACCTGTGCTGCAGAATGGAGAGTGCCTCTGTACTGCACTGCAGAAACATTGCACAAATACTGCCAGAACATGCAATGCAACTACAATGCACTACAGCTGCCCCCCAGGAATAACAGAGGGGGCCAGAGCTCAGCATCCCACATGTCCTGCAGGGAAGCCCAAGCTTTGTGGTGCTCTGAAAAGTAAAGATACAAGCGATGCACCAATGCAGAGAAATGGCTTAGTACAGTCTTACCCCAGAGGTGGGCAATCATTTTTGGTGGGAGGCCACTGCAAGATTTTGGAAAGCAGCCAAAGGCTGCACTTCTCTATGGAGTGGGGTTTGGGACTGAGGTTGGGTGCAGAGGGGAGGGACTATGATGCAAGAGAGAGTGTGGGGTCTGAGAGGGAGTTTAGATGAAATAGGGGTTGTGAGCTTGGGCAGGGGGTTAGGGTCTGGGAGGGAGCAGGGGTGCAGGAGTGAAATTTGACTTGGAAGAGGAGTACAGCAGGGGTACAGGGTCTGGGAGGGAATTGCAATCTGGAGCAGTGTGCAGAGGACTTGGGTAGTGACCATGGGGCAGAGGGGAGTGATGGCCTGGGGTAGGGAGTTAAGAAGTGGGAGGGGTCAGGGTGCAAGAGGCAGGAGCTGAGGTACCGGAGGCAGACTCTGGCCGGGAGTCACTTACCTTAGGCAGCTCCCAGCCAGCTGTCCAACAGGGTCTCTGAGACAGACCCCCTCCTGCAGCAGCCCCAGCCACATAGGTTCCCTCCGTGTGCTGCTCAGGGGGGTGTCCCCCTGGGGGAGGCAAGAGACTTCACACATGCTCCCCAGCCCACAGTTGGTTCAGAACCCGACTGAAGACAAGGGAGTGTGTGTGAAGTCTCTCACCCCCTGCAAGGGTCACATGGTGCCTAGAGGGAACCGCCACCTGTTTCAAAACCATGGGTAGTTTCCTCTACACGCTGCATGCTCCTGGCCCAGGAGGTGAGGTGGGGAGAAATCTTTCTTCCACCCTGCCCCCAAGCCAATCACCACAGCTGGGGGGCAGGGGAGCATGTGAAGTCTTTCACTCCCTGCCCAGGGCGTGCAGCAGCTGGCAGTTCCCTCTATGCTCCGCGCAACCCTGGTGGGGGGACAAGAGAGATTGCGTGCTCCCTGGCCACCACTGCAATGATTGGCCTAGCGGCAAAGATGTGCACAAAATCTCCTCCCCTCGCCCTGTCGCCAGGGGCACGTGGTGCGTAGAGGGAACGGCCAGCAGTTTTGAACAGCTCGGGGCTCCATCTATGCACCACGCACCCCTGGCGGCAGGAGGAAGGGAGACGATTTCTTACACTGCCTAGTCCCCAAGCCAATCGGTGTCTGGAAGCACATGAAGTCTCTCGCCCTCAGTCTCCCTGCCAAGGTGGGCTGCAGGCCGCATCTCACAGTTTGGCCAGCTGTATCTGGCTCACAAGCCGAATTGCGTCCACCCCTGCTGTGGAGAGGAACTGACACAGTTCAGACAATGTCAGGTGCCCTGAGCCAGAGTGGGATATAAGAGGTCCCTATGTTGCACAGGTCTCAGCAGCCTCCCCCAGAGCAGACCAGAGAGGTGGGCTGCCATGGAAACAATACACTCAGGAGACATAACTAAGAACAAGGGAGGGTGGCAATAGGTGAGCACCAAGCTGTGGCTGTGGCCATGTCCCCCGGTACCGCGCTACCACTGAGCAGGGAGTCACCTCCACACCAAGCAGAAGGGGGATGGCAAGATGAGTTGACCTCTCCCTCTTCTCCAGTCGTAAGTATGAGGTTCTGGGGATGGATACTTCTCCAGTCTGGTGTAGAGCAGAAGTGTGGGGGTGGGGGGTGGAGAGGAGTGACACATGCCTTTGACTCCTCCCTAAGGGGAGACTAGAACAACACTCTGACAGGTGGCCTTAAGCAAGTTACACAGTAGTTCCCTATAGGAATTAGGAAGGGAGCACAAGGGGGCAGAGGGCACCCTAGAGCTTACATTGTTGAGGCCAGCATTAGAGACACCACTGCTCATGTTAAGGCTGTTCCACAGGTGGCTGCTGGCCCTCTCACAGTGACCAAAGGAGCTCTGCTGCCCATCTGCCTTCCCCGACAGGGAGGCCTGCATGGCTTTGCACACGTGGAAGATGGCTTTCACCAGGGCGTTCCTGAAAGACAGAGAGGAGCAACACACTCAAGCAGTGCAGTGTCCACACCCTCAAAGGCAGCATCACCAGCTGCTTTAAAGCACCTTCTGGCCTGCACAAAGAGCCCTTTAGCCTTTACTGACCATACCCTGCATCCCAAGGGAAACGAGCTCAGTGGTCTCAGCCTTCTCCCTGCCCCCATCGGCTCAGATCACAAAGACATCGTATGTTCTGGCACAAGAGAACTGCCAACCAACCCAGAGAAGCCGCAGAATAGTACAGTAACATCTGGCAGATACAAGAGCCTCTCCCCCCTTAACAAACCCTGCATGTGGCCATGTGTAAGTAAACTCTAGGGCTGCTGAAGGCTTGTCTACACGACCAGCAGAACAGCAACGCTGCTGTAGTGCTTAGCCAAGACACCACCTGTGCTGACAGGACAACTTTTCCCACCAGTGTAGGGACTCCACCTTCCCCAGACGCTATGCTAGTGGGAGAAGCCCTTGATAGCACTGTCTGCACCTGTGCAACGTCATTACATCCATGTAAATTTGTAGTGTAGACCAAGCCTCAGTTTCTGTCTAGAGGAGCCTACCAGAAGTTGGACAAATGGGTCTGCATCGGTGATGAGGACAGTCTCCCTCATGTCTTTTGTTCAAACAGCCCCTACAGTGGTGTTACATTCCCACGGGACTTTCCCCAACCCACTGCCCAGAGATCTGCAATCCAGGCTCTGATCAACATGATAATACACACATCCACGTGCCAGACATTTCCACATCACATCATTTCATCAGCAGGCACTGAAGCAATTGCACCCATGACAAAAACGCAACCATCTTCCCATGCAGCACTAACAGGCCTAGCCCACAAGACAAGTGTCAACATGTGCCTGCCTCTCAGAACATCTGCTTCATTTGGGCCACCAAGATACTCATTTCTGGTGGTTTGAAGAAGATAAGAGGCTCACATACTCAGACATCTCCAGGGATTTGGGCATGCGCTCCACTTCTGTGAAACGGGACCTCACGCCTGCATCATCCCCTCTGAGCCAACTGATTGCCATGGCGATCGCTGCTGACCACCATCTGCACACCAAATCAGGGCCTGTGGAAACAGGAAGATAGCACTGCAGCTAGAGAGAGCACCCAAAGCTGTGCCAAGATCAGATAAAGAGAAGGAGAAGGCCTGATATTTAAAATGACAAGTGAAATGTTGGGCCTTCAGAACACAGTCAGCAGAGTCAGGCTTTCCCTTATTCTCATGTAGCACAGCTTCACAAGACACTACCAAGTTGGAGGTTTTTTCTTCTTTCCTAAAGAGCAGCTGCTCCAGCAACACACACCATGTTTGCACACTGGTACCCACTGAGCTGTGTTTACTGACTCACCTAACTTTGCCTTGAAGGTCTCTCTCAAAGTACAGATTAGGCCACACCGTGGTAGAATTAGGGTTTGTCTCTCTCTCAGCCTGACCTATTTCTAGATTCAGTAACTGCCTCACTAGCCAATCGTGTTCCTGGGAGGCCCAAGGCCTTCGCCCTATCGCAAGCTCCCGCTGCAAGATCACAGCTTTTCCATCTGTGCGTTGCATGCACCCTTTGCCCTGCGTCCATTTTCTCTTTTTAGGGCAGGAAGCTCTCCAGAGCAGGAGTGGTCCTTCTGGGAGTTTAAAAAGTGCCAAACACCTTTTTGGGCACAGCAGCAACACAGACAGCCACCACAATCCACTCCGTCCACTTCAAGTTACCAGTGGAGTTTCTACCACATGCAGATTTTGTCACACCCTGTCCTGAACTGCTCTGTGTGGTGTGCTGCTCCACAGCTGTGTCCCACCCTAACAAGAGCTGCACGTCAGCAGTAACCGATTCCTCTGCAGTTAGTAAACCTATATGTGAAGGGTGCTTCATAAATACAGGCCACCATTATGACTCTTCCGGAGATGGAGAGACTTCAAACCACGACA